AGTGCCATATGTGTTATTATGTGATGCCATTTTTATTAAAACAATATATAAAAACACATCTGTATTAAAGAGAAAATGATTGGTAAACACATATTTGGAATGTAATTAAATAACAAGTACTTTGGGTGTCTTCATCATAAAAGCAGCAGAACTTAAATCACATCCAGTTTATTAGCAACACGTGCACGAGCGTGAATCCCGCGATATCAGTCTTTGATCTCACAAGTGTCAGATCCACTGCGAGAAACGAGATCTGTCCGGCTTGACTGCGCTTTCTTCACTCCTCCTCTCACAGCAGCCGCCTACTCTCGACTACATTTCAGGCGAGGCAAGGCGCATCTCAAACAAGCCTAAGATTTTAGGAGTCAAAATCGCGTAATCTGACACAGTGACTATCATAACAAACAAAAAAATTGTGCAATCTGAACCAGGCATTAGGGCCAGGTTTACTAAACAGGGAAAAGAGCGCAATTCCAAAAAGCACCGATGGGAGTGGAAAAGTTCTGCACAGACGCAGCCGGATCATATCCATAATGACCAACGCTATCCAAGAGCAGTGCCGCAAATTAGCGACTGGTTTAAGTCATGCTTTTTTGGGGTGGGAAATAATGCTGCAGATACCAGTAAATTGAAGAGCGCAAACCTCAGTAAATCACATCGCACGATTCATTTAAATACTCTCCTCCCATAAATTGTGCGTCTGAAAGGGAAACTCCTACAAATGCATACTGTACGCAATAAGCTCAGCCGCAAAAATAACCCCATTCAGCACTAATTTTCACTGCGTCTGTAGTAAATACTGACGGCAATAGATGGTTTGTGCTGGCGGTTAATGTTTCATGCAATATTTCTTCAAGTAAATCTTGTTTAGATATTTTTTTTACAGGAAAAGTTACAGTGCATTTTAAAGACTTAAAACCAGAGATGTTAAGCAAGATAGGACATTTCTGAACTGTCCAACCCAAACACGCTATAGGTGGAGACAGTCAAAAACTATGAAAGAATTGATCAAAACCCCTGAGTCTTAATTTGACTCCAAGGGCCCATTGATACAATCCCCGCAGATTTCCCTCAAAGCACCATTGAGCCCACCACGAAGTCCAATATTAGAAGGAATGCTTTTGTAGGCCTGAACTCAAAGCGTTTAGATTACCCAGCGATGAATTTGCGATTTATAGCAAAGTTAAAAACTTTAACACTGGCAAAGGGCAACAGGGAAAAAGTCATTATTTCATTTTCATAAGGCTTTACTGGTAATCCAAATCCTCTTTCTCACTCCTTTGCACTTTGTGGTTTAATATATGTGGTAAATTTGTGCTACTTTGGAATGTTTTCCTGCTGTTCCTCCTTGGAATTTGGTGGTGCACACATCAAAATAATATATCCAGGATTAATCTTCATTTAATTGTTTTATGAGAGGTTTTTCTTGGAGGTTTCGTACTTTGCTTGGCCATTCAGTATGTTTGCAGGAGAAGAATGAAAAGCAGGTTTAGGAATAACGGATGGATTTCATTTTTTTTTTCACGGTTACCAACACTCTTCAGGGGGTCGTAAATTGAGTTGTGTTAGTTCATGTGTGGCATCCATATGGACCTTCAGGTGCGAGACAGATAACAAGAACAATTGGAAATGTATCATAATGAAAGTGGTGTTTGTCCATGCAAAACTCAACAGTGGCTCTGTTTCTAAGATTTTTGAGGAGGAAAAAATCTTAATCCCCCAATCATTTTGATGGATTATTCAATTACAAATGTAAGAGTCTTTGGCCTTGAGGGTCAACAGATTGAGACTCAGCAACAGTGACCAATGGGAAGACCAACCTCCTCCTCACAATGATGAACTTAAGGGGTCTGAGACCCTGAGTACTCGGGTCATAAATCAGAGTTAGATGTCTTAGCCGATTCATTCATTTCTCTCGCAGGAAGTCCGCTGGCATTGACCTGTGCACATGGTGTCTGCTAACCATGAGGACACACCACAGAGAGCAGGCCATGTAAATGCTCCCAGATGTATGAGCAGAACTTACAGCACGTCCTCAAAACAAACGTCCTGTCCTTAACATACCTCTGGGAACACTTAAGACCAGGGATTGTTTATTGTCCACAATGGACTCGTACATCTTTTTTCTGTTTATTCAAAGGCAGAAGCTTAGTGTTCGTTATTTTAGCCCAGGATGTTTCCTTAGTTTTGGGGTACAGACACTTCATTGAAGTTTGATGGGCACTAGAACTTGTTCGTTTCATATGCACACAAAGATATGAGCATTTTTAAACACCACATTTTTCGTTCGGTGAACTCTAGTTTGCAAAATCATTTTGTTTAAAAGAAATTTAAAACTAATTTAATTTAAACTCATTTCTAAGAATAAAACATAGATGCAGTTTATCATCAAGTTTAAAAGAGAAATTTTAAAAAGAGAAGCTACATGAAGTTGTGTGTGAGTTGACAGTATTTTTAATACTGTGCTGTTTGCTAATGCATCACTTTTGCTCATGCTTATGGACTCAAACTAGCATAAAACATTAAAGTTACAATATGTAATTTTTTTCGCCGGTAGGAGTCGCTAACCTCTTGCAATAACAGGTGTAGATTGATGACGCAGTGAATAAGCAGTATCATGGAACTTGTGGTCATTCTGATGGATCTAATAATGTTTATGGGTGAGTAAAAACATTGTATTTTATCATGTGGTATGAAGCAGGGCGCGATTGCTAACGAGAGGCAGATATCAGCGCCACACGCGAGTCCCGTGTATATAAAGGAATGAGGACATTTAATTCTACTGAACTACCCGGAAGTGCTGAATTACTACTCACACAGGTCACTTTACACTCTCAGAAAAAAAGGTACAAAAGCTGTCACTGGGGCTGTACCTTTTCAAAAGGTACACTTTTGTATCCAAAGGCTACATATTGGTACCTTAGTGGTACTTAGCACCTAAAATGTATTAACACCTGAAATGTACAGTTTAGCTCATGAAATGGACATATTAGCACCTAAAATGTACATATTATCACCTAAAATGTGTATATTAACACCTAAAATTGACATATTATCACCTAAAATGGACATATTAGCTCATGAAATGGACATATTAGCACCTAAAATGGACAAAAATGTAGCTTTTGAAAAGGTACAGCCCCAGTGACGGCTTTGTACCTTTTTTTCTGAGAGTGTTGACGAATTAAACGTGTGAGGTAACACAGCGCTGTTTCACTTGGTCTACACTATCAAACTAAACAGCATTTGATTGTGTTGAAAGTTTTGTTATACGTGTTAGTTGGCTATGTGAGACTAGCAGTAAGATCAACATTAGAATAACATACTAACCATATTCTAACATTTCATCATGTTGAGCTATATAACATTGATTAGTTTTATGTACATTTACTCACCTGCCTAATAAAATACATTCAAGAGCGGCTTCTCTGTCAAGTCCGAGTTTGTCGCGGACGTGGAGCTCATCTCGAAAACGCCACGCTGATATCGATCGTCTTTTTAGTTATCCTTTTGACCCAAAGTCTGCTTGCCATGGTCCATAATATTTAAATGAAACAACAGCGCGCAGCTAAACATTATGCAGTTTTTCCACATCTGTCGCTATGGTTACTATGGCAGTACAAGCGGAAAACTGGGATAACGTGGATATTTTGTCAAGTGACAAGTGGCAAAATACTATTTAAAATTGTGAATTTCTCTGAATTTACTAATTCTTGGAAACATTTAGGATAATGTAAGTACACAATTGAAAGAAATAACACTGTGCAAGTGGTTTTTGGACATTTTGATACAAAATTCTTACATAAGTACCTTTAAATATTAGTTTGTCGAGATCATGAGTGTTTGGAAAGCTGATCAATCTCTATTTAAAGCCTCACCTGTTGCTCTGCACCGATCAGGTGATCAGATTGTCATGAGCTGTAGGGAGGGAGATGTTCATTTCAGTGATCTGTGTTGAGCAGATAGAGAGGATGTTGTCGTTGCCGTCAGGCTGTGTTGCATGCCTCTTATTCTCTCAATTTCCCTTCTAATTGTTCCCTCATTTTTCCTCCCTTTAGGAAAAGTGGTAATATAAATTCACCTCTTTTGTCTGCTGTTCTCTTTTCTCATTAGATTTTTTTGTCAAATTTGACTTTAGTGGGTCAAAAGTAAATTAATGTTGTTGTTTTTTTTCATTTGACAAGTCTAACTGACCAACACAGGTTGCAACAAGGCTTATTTTCTTCTCATCTGCTTCTACTTTGCTTTATTTATGCTGTTGTGTTATATATCATGTTTTTCTTTTTCCACCCTAACACAAAAGAAAAACGTGCTACTAAAGGTAGAGATATATGTTTCTAGGTTCAAAGGTCACAGCCATTTTGATGACCTCCCACACTTCATGCAAAAGTAGGCCTATGTGAATTATTTGACACTGCTAATTTTAGAACAAGTCTAGGTGCTTTATGACACTTTGGCATCAGGCCTTCTCAACAAAAAGAAATCTCTAAAAGGTCACTTTTTGTATAAATAACTTATGTTAAGCTGCCAGTGTAGAAAGAGCCTTTCTATTTTTGACGCTGCACAGACACTTTAATTTCTCAGTCTGATTTACGAAAAGCATAAATTGACTTCTATGAATCCTATTTGTTAAATATTTAAATAGAAATTTGTACTGACATATCATAAAATATGTCAGTGCCATTGTTTTGTCACAAGATGCACTCCAGTCAGTGATGTTTAAAAGTAACTTAAATGTCCTAATTCAACTAAGCCACTCCTGGCTTAATCTAAGTCTGTGAAACCAGGCCTTTATGTTGTAAATCATGTCTCAATCCTCATCTTGAACACAGAGGAATGACATTATGGGCAGAAATAATCATTTTAATTCTGTTTCTCTCCTGATCCTCATCTTGATGTTTCCCTCACACAGCCTATCCTTGCACTTACTCTTTTTATGACGGGCTGTCTGGGACTCCTGTGGTTTAATCGTCTGTGTTTTCTCTGTTTCCGATGTTCAGGGTCCACTCGGCCTGGATGGCAAACCTGTGAGTATTCCCCACCTTTAAAAAGACAAGGATTTATGTGTGGAAAAGATGTTTTGAATTCTCTTTTTCTCAGTGAGACACTTTGATAAGAAATGTTGTCAATGATTTTATTATAACCAAATGCAGGGTTCTCTTCACTAGAGCACAGAGAAGTCTCCATTATATGATCATTTTTGGCAGGACCCGCACATTGACAGCAACACACCTCATCATTGTTCCTGCAATAATGACGTCTGACGTGTTCACATTTGACGTTGCATGAGAACGTGACATAGGCAAGAACCTGACCAGAGCAGTCAGACTGGAATTAGTTTTCAGATATTAGAATTGAATAAGATTTCATACCACATATGAATTTAGCTTGAAACATATTTGTAAAACTCTGTTTTCAAGTGATTTTTTTGCCATTTGCATTTGCTAAATATAATCATCTACTACAGAGTCCTTAAATGGAAGCTTCCATAAAATAGAAGAGTGAATAAAAATTAAAAAAAATATAATAATTGTGACTTTTTATCTCACAATTGCGAGATATGAAGTCATAAAGTCATGTTATAAAGTCAGAATTGCGAGATATAAAGTCTCAATTCTGAGAAAAAAAAGACAGAAGTGCGACTTTTTATCTCACAATTCTGACTTTTTTTCTCACAATTGCGAGTTTACATCTCGCAATTCTGACTTTATAGGCTAACACATAATTGCGAGTTTCTATTTCAAAAATTCGAACATCTTTTCTCACAATTCCAAGTTATCAGGCCAATTCTAAGGGGAAAAAAGACTAACTTTTCCCCCCTCAGAATAGTTTAAATCTCACATTTCTGACTTTATAACACGCAATTGCGACTTTATATCTCACAATTCTGACTTTTTATAATGCATTTCTGACATTATAACACGCAATTGTGACTTTACATCTCACAATTCTTACTTTATATCTCGCAATTCTGATTTTATAACACGAAATTCTTACTTTATATCTCACAATTCTGACTTTATAACACGCAATTCTTAATTTATATCTCACATTTCTGACTTTATAACACGCAATTGCGACTTTATATCTCACAATTCTGACTTTTTATAATGCATTTCTGACATTATAACACGCAATTGTGACTTTACATCTCACAATTCTTACTTTATATCTCGCAATTCTGACTTTATAACACGCAATTCTTACTTTATATCTCACAATTCTGACTTTATAACACGCAATTCTTAATTTATATCTCGCAATTCTGACTTTATATCTCGCAATTCTTAATTTATATCTCGCAATTCTGACTTTATAACACGCAATTCTTAATTTATATCTCGCAATTCTGACTTTATAACACGCAATTCTTAATTTATATCTCGCAATTCTGACTTTATATCTCGCAATTCTGACTTTATATCTCGCAATTCTTACTTTATATCTTGTAATTCTGACTTTATAACACGCAATTGCGACTTTATATCACGCAATTCTGACTTCATATCTTGCAATTCTGAGAAATAAAGTCAGAATTGCGAGATGTAAACAGTAAACACTTCATTGTGTGAAAAAAGTCAGAATTGTGCAATAAAAAGTCGCAATTATCTTTTTTATTTTTCATTCTGTGGCGGAAACAAGGTTCCATACTAAGGGACACAGTGGTGGTGGGAAAAAAAATATGAGATGAGACTATTTGTGCTACGGACATGAATGATTGTGTAACTTTTCTAATCAATCAAAATTATGAGTTTTGACTTGTGGAGGATGTGAAACCATCTCATGGACTTACATTGAAAGAATTACCTGAGCCATAGAGGCCAGGCTATCATAAAGACTTCTTGTTTTGACTAGATATTTAATTGATTTGTTTTGCAGGGTGCTCCTGGACTTAAAGGAAGCCAGGTAAATACAATTTCAAATCTCTACTGTTCCATAACTAATATTGTAGACCAATAAGTGCAAACTTTTGCTTTATAATGGGTTTATGAAAGCTTCCAAACTTTACACACATCTGAAAGCTACGGAGCCCGGGAAGTCACCTGCGGGGAAAAAAAAAACAATCCGAGGCGACGGTTTTGCAATCCGTCCCCTCAAACTGTACTCACGGATTCTTAAACTGTTCCCTCGGTTTAACAATTCGTGCCCACGGATTAATAAACCGTACCCACGAGTTCCTAATCCGTGCTCTCAGATTTGTAAACCGTGCCCTCAGTTTTTGCAATCTGTACCCACAAATTCATAAACCGTGCCCACGCTTTCGCAATCCGTACTCACGGGTTTGTAATCCGTATTCACGGATTTGTGGCTCGTCCCCCAAAGTGTGCCGCATGATTCAACCACGCCTCCTGTTTAGATGCAGATGCATTGTTTTTAAAAGGACTTCACATTCAAAAAATAAATAAATATAGGCCTAACACAAACACAAAGTTATAGGCCTATAATAATAAAACATTCATAAATTGTTTTATGATTACCATAGCGTATTCCTGTCTTAAAGTGAACTCATTTAAATTTATAAACGCAAATAATAGGCCTAATAATAATAATTAGGCTATTATTATTACATTTAGGCTACAGATAAGACAAAAAAAGAAACAAAGCAATTCGTCAAATGTCAGTCATAAGACAATAATACAGGGCTGAGATTATCACAAATAAACACAAGATTTTGACGCATGTCCAAGAGTTTGTGCACAAAAAATAAATAACAATGACTTTTTGCCTTTATTAAACATTTAAAATATTCGCAAATTAATATGAAAAAAAATAGACTTTCTAAAAACTATATTTTTCCCGCATTGCTAAATGAGAAGGGCATGTCTCTGGAACCATAGAGAGATGATTTAGGTGATTTAGGCTAATCATAATAAATTAGTCTGAAAAATAACGATAGATTTTTATTGCTTAAATAAACAGTTTTCTAGTGACGGGCGATCTCCATCTCCGCTGTAAAGCAGATGCACCTTAGAGAAATGCACTTTTCGGATTGTGTAGCCTAATCAGACGGTATTTGCTTTCGATTCGAATTTGTTCGTTTAAAAGTGAACATTTTAAGCTTTAGATAGGCTTTTGTTTCAGCTTATTTATGAGACGCGCTCCGGAGATAAGCGCGCCTGATAAACAATATTTTTAACAAAACAAAAATATTTTATTTTACAAATAGGCCTACACAACGTTTTCTTGTTATTGTGAGTTTACACAAATAAAAGTAGTAGCAAATAATTGTATTATGTATAATGTATTTTTTCTGTATGACCAGAAATGCTATTAGGCTATTTTAAATGGTTCCACTGTTATAGGAAGTGTTTGCGGCTGCGGCTCAGTGACAGTGCGCGCTCCAAACAAACACTTGGATATGCGTTTGTTTGTAATCTTAGCCCATTGTTATTGTCTAAGACTGATTTGACGAATTGCTTTGTTCTTTTTTTTGTGGATAAAAGCGTCTTCTAAATAGGCAGCCTATAAATGGATTTTGATAGCTAACGTTAATTATCCTATTATTTGCGTTTATTAGCCTACTATGAATGAGTTCACCGAAGACAGTAATAGCCTATGTTTAACATAAAATAATTTATAACATATAACCAAATCTTTTACAGTTTTTGAACTGTGTTATTATTATTGTATTTATTTTTAGCTTATTATATAGGCTACTGAGCTTTTTCCTCTAAAATGGACTTTAAAGAAAAGAGTAGCCTAAATTTTTAAAGAAAATGCAAGAAATTATCCATTTAAAAAAAAGGATTTTAAAAACAATGCAATGCATCCCGCATCTAAACAGGAGGCGTGGTTGAATCATGCGGCACACTTTGGGGGACGAGCCACAAATCCGTGAGTACGGATTACAAACCCGTGAGTACGGATTGCGAAAGCGTGGGCACGGTTTATGAATTTGTGGGTACAGATTGCAAAAACTGAGGGCACGGTTTACAAATCTGAGAGCACGGATTAGGAACTCGTGGGTACGGTTTATTAATCCGTGGGCACGAATTGTTAAACCGAGGGAACAGTTTAAGAATCCGTGAGTACAGTTTATAAACTGAGGGGACGGATTGCAAAACCGTCGCCTCGGATTGTTTTTTTTTTCCCCATAGGTGACTTCCTGGGCTCCGTAGAAAGCTGTTCATTTGTATTGTGTAAAAAAAGAACTTATGGTTTTATTTTTGCATGGCATCAGAGGGATTAAACCCATATTTAAGTTTTCAGGCCATTTATCATCTCAGATATAGGGTCACACACCACAAAGTGCCCTTTTACCTTGTATGTCTATCCCCAAATGAGATGGAAATAATGGATTACACACCAAAAAGAGAGAATTCATCATTGTTAGCTTGTGCGCGTGCAAATAGGCGGTGGTTTTACAAACCCTGCTGTGTTCTTTAGCGCTGCCAAGGGAAGCCCATTTGTCCAATGTAAAGTAAACCACTTCTTCTGGAAGGCAGACCACCTCCATGCGCCATTCGTCTGTCGCTTCCTGTGAAAGACAGTTGTTATGTTTTGACTTGCATGAAAGAGTCTAAGGTCGTCATACAGTAGGTTTCAATCGGGCATGAAAATGTGGGATTCTGCGATGCATATAACTGATGTGCATCATAGAGTATTCCATATCTAAAATGAGTTAGAGGTTGCAATTGAATCGGTTGCATCTGATTTTACTCAAATGTGACACAGATTCTTTGAACGACATGACTGATTCATCCCAGTGTGTGTGTATATGTATACATGCATTATTTATTAGGTTTTTAAGCCAAGAAAATTTAAAAACTAAAATAGTTTACAGTTGAAACAGTATTTCTTGTTTTAAAAAAGTGTCTGATATGGGTCACAGTGAGAAGGTCATGGGAACAACCTCATAAAAATATATTATTTGAAAATGAAAATACCAGACTCAGACTCTCATTTCCAGTTTCACTCAAACATTTTCGGTCAGCTGTACGTCCATCATATTCACCGACTTTTGATCATGTTATTTTAAAAGTGACTTTTAAGATCAAAGATTACAGCTATATCTAGTGCAGATGTGAAGTGCTGTCTATAAGTCTATTTGGAAAAAAGATGACTTTGAACACTTTGAAAATGAGGCACTTGTGAAAATGTATGGACACCAAGACACTAAAGACTCTCAGCGAATGAATTATGATTCACATGCAAGTGTTTGAACTTCACAGCGTTTTCCCTTAGACTTTTGTCATATTAATATTTCATTTTGGACAATCTATCTAATCAACACACCCAATTCATTTATTTCCAGGGGCTGCCCGGACCAAAAGGAGATAAGGTACCTTTAGTATCTTTCTTTTCTAAATTGCAAGCCACAGCACGGTTTCGTTCTGTTTCCGATCTCAGCTTCCCAGCAAGCAGATGTTTTCTGATTTGTAAAACAACTCGCAGATTTCATTTGCATTGGCTTTTGTCTTCAAACACATGTTTTGGAGGGGATGTAGACTATGTCAGGCATCAAATTAGAGTAACAAGAAACCTTTAGTAAATGAAGACCGTCTTGAAGTATTTTCCTGATTGCAGTAAAAAAATAAATTTAAAAAACCCACAACAAAACACAAACATGGAGCCTCAGGATGCTTTTTCGCCTAGTTCAGTGTTTCTCATTTATAGTAATTAGTAAAGAGTTATGTTTTCTCTGCCCTGATTTAATTTATCTGCTCTTTTGTTGTTAAATAGATGGTTTACTATACTCACAGTAAGCCAGTTTATATTATGAATGAGGGTTTTTAAATGAGTAAGTTTCTCTTACATCTAAAACAAAAGTAGCTTATTATTGCTACCACAAAAGAACAGCCACTGTCTGCCACATAACACACTCAGAACACCTTAGCAACCATCCACACAATTTTATTTTTTCGGAATATAGAAACATCTTTACTGTGTAAGTGTGTCGCTAATTGTATGTCTTGTCTTTGTGTGTTTTAGGGTGACCAAGGAGACACTGGGCCAAGGGTCAGTAGTACATGCATATTAGTCACTTTGAATACAGTACATCTATAGCCTGTATATATTCATATTATCCCTTACAATCAGATAATCAGTGTGAGCCTCAGAGTAATGCAGGAGATTCCTGACTATATGTTAATCACATTTATGAAAATTGATGATGCATCATAAACCAGGATTGAAGGGCTGAATTGTGTGTGACAGAAGGCTGAATTAATTTACTATAGTCAATATTCTCTCTTTCTCATATTTTCTTCATCTTTCTTTATTCTTTTTTTCATGCACATCCAAAGAAGTGGCATTACTAGGATGTGCATGTGGATTTACGAGATGGGCAACTTAAGTAAAAATATGGGAAGAATTAAAATCCAATTTCTTTAGGATGAGCACGCCCACACTTGCTGGTGTCATGGTCTAATCCAAACATAGAATTGTTTGACCGATATTTGACTATTTAGAAATGAGCAAAGAAGTGTCGATTTTGAGTAGTGTGTTCCAAAATTGTCCTCATTGTCAATGGATAATGTACTTTCAGGTTTCAAATAATAGTGACTTAAATAAGTATTTTTTTAAATGAAACGATTTTTGGGTATGTTTTTTTTTGCTATTATAATATGATAATATTAGTGTGTGTAAATAAGAGTTTATTGATATTTTGATTCCCCAAAGAGTGTGCTGTGTGTGTACCTGTGTATGTGTCTGAAATAGATGGCACAAAAACAATAAAAACAATGTCTCCAGACTTCAGCTAAAGCTCAACAATCCTCCCTTTTGGGAAGCTCTCCCTGAAAAGGAAAAATACAGAGTAAATAATATCTTTATTCTCTTCTAAAATTGCACCAAGTTTTATTTTAGGGTTGGGGTTAGTCTGTAGTAAATATAATTAGTGTAATTTATATAGCATAGGGACAATAGAAGTCAATGGGGAGCTTAGTTAGCTGAGCATGAGTGTATTGCTGAGTAAAGCGGCAGTGTGGGAAACCTCAACCATCCCTCGAGTCACCACATCCCTGCTAACTCAACCCTCATGCTCACGCTGGCATCAACAAGCTGTGTCACTCGCTCACTTTCTCTCTATGGTGCTCTGTTTTCTCTTTTGCAAGCCTTTACTTCTCAGATTTCTGAAGCTAACTTTCATTCTTAGCCACCTGTTTTCCTGCAACGCAATTTAGCACGGCGGTGAATTGCTCTTTACACTTGTGACTTGTTGTCTGTTTCCATTCTCAACTTTTCAGAGAGAGAGAAAGTGACATGTACTCACCTCAATGGGTACGGCCTTATTTAAAATCTCTTGCGGCAAAAAGTGCTGTGCTTCTCGTGCAGCTCTCGGTCAACACAATCCAGCCCTATGAATGCGGTTTACAGAGACAAACACACATACACATGTTGTTCAGACAGATGTGATTTAAGACGGCAAAAATAAAACCATGGTATTTGTCCAGTTTTATTTCAAGGTGGCAAGACCAACAATTTATGTATTTTTTTTATTTGAATCCCAGTCCAGACACATTGTCCTTTTTGGTCTGCCTTTAGAACAAGTCAAAATGGCAAGCATTGTTTTTTTTATTTTTATGACATAAATAACTGATTCAGTCATCCAGTCCAATGAAACCCATTCCACCAAATCAAATTTTAAATTTTAAAAAATATTTTATATATATATATATATATATATATATATATATATATATATTATATTTATATTATATATTTTTTAGGTTCTTGAAAGAAGTCTCTTGGTTGTATTTTATTTAATTAAAGATACAGTAAAAACAGTCCTATTGTCAGTATATTTTAAAATGTATTGTATTCCTGTGATCAAAGCTGAATTTTCAGCATCATTACTCCAGTCTTCAGTGTCACATGATCCTTCAGAAATTATTCTAATATGCTGATTTGCTGCTCAAGAAACATTTTTTATTATTATGAAAGTTGAAATTATTATGTGGCTTTATGTTTGTGGAAACATTGTTTTTTCAAGATTTGTTAATGAATAGAATATACAAAAGATAGTTTAACCGCATTTATTTGAAATTGAAATATTATGTAATATCTTACTAACTGTCTTACTATCACTTTTATATCAATAAAAGTATACAGTTTGTAAGTTTGAGTATAAAATGTATACATTTCTTTAACCCCAAACTTTTGAATGTCAGACTATGTTATCCATTGACAATGTTGGAGTTTTTAATCGTCCAAATGGACTACATTGGTTCAAAAAAGCCAAATATCAGCCAAATAATTGGTCTGAACGTTAAGCTAATTTAAGGAAAATTCTGCTAGGTGTTCGTCTGGGTTTGTTAATTCTCATTCGAAGCTCTTTTGATGACTGGTCTGTGTATCTCTGCTCCTCTGTTCATCCTCTTCCTCTCGCAGGGTCATGGCACTCATGCAGGTCTGCATAGTAATCAGATTCTCATTAAGGTTTGTCCCTTCACTGCTGCCATAGCCTTCCTCTCCAAGCTTCTCCATGTCAAGGATGGTCGTCTTCTCTTCATGGCCCCTGAGATCTTGCTCAGCTTCCACACTATCCCTCGTTTTTCAACGCTTGTATTGTTTCTTCTGAACTTTCTCCTTTGTCTTTTCCTCCTGTCTGTTCTTCTGGGGACGTCCTGTCTCTTACTATGGGGGACTCACACGCACAGATGGTCTTTCCTCGTTACGATCACGGCTACATCTCGGCCGATCAGCCCAGTTTCCAGAGGCGTATGCTGAAGGTAGCATGTGTGCAAGGCATGTGCTGCGGACACTCCCCTTACTAGATCTTCATCTTCCTCATTTCTAACTCATGTCATGTAGCGTGATTGCTTGTGTTATTGTTTGTCTCAATATTTACAATGAAATAACCTCATCCATGTCTGAAGGATCTGAGCGCTGCATGCAAGCTGCTGCTTCAGTGAATGTGGCTGATTCAGGGTGAATGTCACGAAAACATATCTGTATCATATTTTAGCCCATAAAAATATTAGTCATTATATTTTGCATGAGGAAATTTAATGCAAAATAATGGCACAATGCAAAAATAAAAATAATACAAATAGATACACAGAAAATAAATGTCTTCCTGAGATTCACACACTTAGAAATAAGGAAACATTGTAGTGACAAAATTGTGCCATTATACACAAAAAAGGGGCCTAGGATTAACAATTTTCACTAAGAAAGTGCTAGTAAATTTCACAAATAATTACAAAGCAAGTAACACATTGAATTAAACGTGACATTTTTAAGTTAAAAACTGAAATTGTATGTGTAATAATAATTGTTGTTAATATTTATTTATGTATTATTATTATTATTCAGAAAAGTTAAATTACTTACAATACTACAATTAATCACTGATGAAACTTGAAACGTCATAGTTCTTCCATTAAATTTTTCAAAACAAAACCAGAAATATATTTCCTGTGACTTACTTGAAAAATGTATTGTACTGTATATCACATATCTGTATGTTTTCATCAGGGTGATCAAGGACAAGCTGGCCCACCTGGACCTCCAGGGCCTCCTGGTGCACCCGGTGCTAGAGGGCCGCCAGGAAACACTGGGAAGGACGGCCCTCGCGGCCCACAAGGAGATACAGTAAGACACTTCAATCATTTTTACTTGCTTCTGTGAGACCTTAAAAGATGCTGTGCATAAAGGGGTCTTCAAATGTAAATTGCCGAGGTTAAAGCACATCACAAGTTTTTTTAAGTATGATATTACAGATCCCTAACACTTGACATGCAGGAAAAACGAGGAGGAGGCGGCAAGGGAGGCAGTGTCTCCTCAAAAACGTGACATTAAAAAGTGTAAAATTCATTTGTTTTGTTGTAGTAACAACGTCCAACAGCAACACTATAGTTACTGCGTCTCTCTTGCCTCCCCTGAGCCCATCGACTTTTAACAGACCCCCCAAAGCGTGCGGTGGGTATTTGCGAATAAATGGGGGAAAGTCACGTCGAAATCAAACTTGGCCTGAGAACATGATGACTGTGGGGGTTTTAGGGCGTAAACTGCTTTGGAGAAATTAAAGGTTCATCTTTGTGTCTGTGGCCAGTGTGTTTATATATTTATAATTATATATGTTTATAATTATATTTTGCCTCCTCATTTTAAAACACTGGGGAAAAAATGTGTATACCGTGGCCACAGATTAACAATTCATTCCCATGACTTACTAAAACATCAGCACAACTTACTAATTCGTTCCCTCGTTTTACTAAATCTTGTGCACGATACAATAATTAGTTCCCTCGTTTTATTGAAATCGTGACCACATTGTAATAATTCGTTGCCGTGTTTTAGTTCAATCAAACAAGGGAACGAATAAGTAAATGGTGGCCACAATAAACAGGAAAATATCGATCAATTATGCAAACAAAGACAATATTGTTTACTTGAGCTATAAAGCACTTCTGGAGCGGCTCAGTTATGTTTGCTATTTTAAAGGCTGTCTCAATTGCAGAATAGTGCAGTGCACTGAAACGTTAGACATGTAACATATTTAAATAAGTAACAATTGAAAGTATTTTTCATAATGTAACATTTTTTTTGTGAAAAATATCAGTTTTGCTGTTCATAAATACCAGTAGTGATTTTGTATAATGTGTAGTGAGTCCTTACTAGTGTCCAATTTTTTGTACACCATAGGCTACACTGATTCACGACCTACTGACCCTAAGTTGTCAACAAAAACGATTAATTTAGTGCCACGTCTGCCAACAAAAAAAAAATTCAATTTGACATTTAAATGGATTGAACATAATTAAATTAGATTGTGCCAAATTTTTCAAGAATTGTGTTGTTCAAGTAATTTGAACAAGCTGCTTAAACAGACGGCGTAGGGCACTAACTACCAAGGGGGCACCAAACAGTGATGTTTACTGAGGGGCCCTGATTGCACAATTGGATTTATTATCTGAAGATGTTTTTGTACTACACCAGTCTGTGGTTTGCAACAGTTACAGGTATTTTAGAGGTTAAAGGCATTAGCATTGCTCCGCTCTGGCCTCTCATCTCACGGTTGGGTTTTGTTCAGCTAGAGGTGATGGAGAGAGAAAGACAGAGAGAGGTTAGAGGGGAAGGGGGCAAATCCAGTTCATCATTCCCCCGACGGGGCGTTTGAGAAACCACAGCCTATGCCAGTGCATTGTAACTCAGCTAAAGCTAAACCAAATATAGATATTAAGGCTCGAGACTCATCTGGTTTGGGTAAGACACGGCCACATTAAGAGATATGGCGCAAGTCCTGATTCAGGAACATTTCTAGCCTTAGGTCCCTTTACATGAAGTTCATCCTTTACCGTGTACTTGAAATGATTTTATTTCGATCTGAATAGAGTGATTCATAAGAAGCATTCATGGAATATTTACTCTTATCCCTGAGCTCAAACTGGGCTGGATCTCACCAACACACTAGCCTATCAATTCTTTTCACAATACCAGGAATTATTCTTGCTCAGCGGCAGATTACGAGAGAGTCCGTACACATTCTCTTCTGTTTGTGCTCTATAAGACTGCCTGTCCTCTCATTCTGACTGTTAGTTTCGCAAGCCAAAATGTTGACTTTCAACACTAAATCAGTAGCATATTATAGCTTATTCTGGCCAAAAATCATTCATTCAGATATAAAGAGGTTGTCTGGCTGACATTTAAAATTACTAGACTCATTTAACTTGATTTTACATGGCATTTAAGGGTTTGGCAAACATGCAAGAGATGTCATTTACTCCGAGTCATCTGCCTCTATAGTTTATATATAGACTAAAGTTTGGGGTCAGTAAGACTTTTTTTTTAAAAGAAATTAATACTTTTTTCAGCAAGGATGTAATAAGGAATAAATTACATTTTAAAAAAATATATTTAAACAAAACAATTATTTTCAATATTGTAATTATATTTTTTAAATATTTAAATATTTTTTTAAATATTTGTTCTTCTTCTGTATTTGATCAAAAAAAAAAATATTTTTTTTTTTACTTTTTAATGATCCAAAAATATGTCATATGTCAAACACAATGTATATATTTGTATACAAGTCCGATTATATTTATAAAAAATATATTTATAATATTTTAGGAGTGTCAAAATAGGTAAACTGTTAAGTTTATGAAGTCACCTAATATACATATATAAACAAGTGAAGTCCCAACACCAATTTTAGCCCCGCTTCAAGCACTGGAGTAACACAATTTTGAGATCATTTGATGAGTCTCAAAAACATAGCATACAGTGAATGCATATTAACACACTTATATGCATGTGTGTGTTTCTGTGCTGGCAGAAGTAGTGGATAAAACAAGAAGACATGTTCTGTTCTGGTGCAAAGAAACATTTTATGAAAGCTGAAATCTATGAAATTCTGCACCATGTTGGTCACAGATGTTTCCCTGACGTCTTACCAGCTAGTTATCTTCTATTGTTGTGTTTTTCGCTTGCAAAACCACCTTGTTAAGAAGCGCAGCTTGAAGGAAGGACGGCGAAAGCGAACAGCACAGTGCTTCTGATTTTCCCAAGCGCTTCCTCTGGTTTTGCTCATTTTTGACGGGGAACAGAAAATGATGTCTCTCTGTGTTGTGGCTGAATACCAGCTTTGAAGTCTGCTTGACATAAATTACTACAGTTGACATGATTGTTTGTGTGTATGCAACTGTATGTATGGGCGCAATGTCTTCGATCATTCTACAGATAATTTAGGTCCAGTATGAGGACAAGAATATCGATTAAAAAATGAAAAACGTTGAAATAATAAGGAGTTTTAATCATAATACATTCACCCTGAGCATCCTCCACAAGATGCATGTTATGTACGCTCTTTCTCTATGTGTATATAACAAACAGACAAACCTTGATTTCAATTTTAAAAGGAGAATAAACATATGTATCAGTGATGAGAAAGTGTTTGATATTAGTGCCCAAAACCTGATGGTGAACGTTAAACCAAAATAACCAAAGCTTTATATCACTGCCCCCTAGTGGTTAAATGGCAGACACACCAGTCCCTGCACAGACCCCATATTAAAGAGATAGTTCACACAAAAATGAACATTTTGTTATCATTGAGTCACCCTCAAATTGTTCCAAACCCGAATGAGTTTTTCTTGCGCTGAACACAAAAGGAGATATTTTAAAGAATGTTGGTAACCAGACAGTTGACGGTAGCTGCTGACTTAACAATTTCCTTTTTCTACTGTGGAAGTCAACAGATACAGTCAACTGTTTAATTAATTGTCAACAGAAGACTGTCGACTCATACAGGTTTAGAACAGTTTGAGGGTGAGTAAGTGTTGTCAAAATGTATATTTTTAGGTGAACTATCTCTTTAAGACAAAAGATAAAAAACCGTCAAAATTAACTTTGTGACCATGTGAACTATTACTAAATAAAATGCATTCAAAAACTCTTCTGATACTAAATAACATTTTTTTTATTATTAAAAAGAATATGTATACCATCCAGAGATGCAAAACCAGGCATATCTCGTCACAAAATGTAACTAAAATATCACTCAGCACTTCATAAAGTTGTATATAATTATATGAATGTCCAACATTATTCGCATACATATACACTCTCAGAAAAAAAGGTACAAAAGCTGTCACTGGGGCTGTACCTTTTCAAAAGGTAAACTTTTGTCAATTTTAGGTGCTAATATGTACATTTCAGGTGCTAATATGTACATTTTAGGTGCTGATTTATACATTTTAAGTGTTAATATGTACATTTCAGGAGCTAATATGTACATTTAGGTGTTAATATGTGCATTTAAGGTGCTAATAAGTACATTTTAGGTGTTAATAAGTATATTTTAGGTGTTAATGTACATTTTATGTGCTCATATGTTCATTTCAGGAGCTAATATGGACATTTTAGGTGGTAATATACATTTTAGGTGCCAATACATTTTAGGTGCTAATATGTACATTTCAGGTGCTAATATGTACAAAAGTGTACCTTTTAAAAAGGTACAGCCCCAGTGACAGCTTTTGTGTATAGTATACTTGCGTATTATACTATATAGCATATCTCAACTGCTTGATTGCTTAAGATAATATAAAGATATTATAAATATCTCACGACATGTGAAAAGCGCTATACAGATAAATCTGACTTGACTTAACTTGATATTTAATGTGAAACTCATACCACTAACCCGATCAAGCCATTTAATGTAATAATGATGCACTTTAGGACCGGCACATATGACTTTTGGTTCTATAGCGCTGGTCTGGCATCAATCAAACACTGACTATAAGTTTGTGGACGGTACATCTTAAATGTTTGGTGCAGTAAAGTAACTCTTAAATACTTCTCTGTCTCTCTAGGGCGCTCCTGGACTAGATGGAATAGAGGTAAACGTACAGCTCTGTTTATGATCATCATGGTCATGGTCTTCATGGCTTACATTATATAATTGTATGTTACTTTCTTTTGAAACATATTTACTCTCTCCGCAGGGAGAAAGAGGTTTACCAGGACAACCGGTAAGTGTGTGTGTGTGTGTGCTCATCCTTGTGATCAAGATGTTTCTTGTTTTTTAGGTAAATGCCTTGCTTTCTGAATTTTATGAAAAACTTTCCACTCTGCATAAATTTGAGCAGCATGTTTGAGTGTTTTGTCTTTTGCTAGCTGACTTTAGCTGTCCTTAAACACAGTGATGTCTGGTTGCATTGACATCTGTATGATGTCTTGAATTATTTTCTGCCTGTTTCACTAGAAAGACTTTTATTGTATAATATCAATTTAGTTGTACATGTACATGTGCTTGTTTGTGAGTGAAAGGCTAAGATGAGAAACATGCATGCGAGTATGTTCTTAGCCGGTGTGTTTAAGTCTCATGGGCCTGTTGTACATAAAGTCAGCATGAAATGGTGTTCGCAACCCTTTTACTTCAGTAATGCGATTTATTTCTAAGTGAAACAGGAAATAAGAAAAATGTAGAGCTGAACTTGATATTTTTATTTTTTTTATCTATGAAAATTGAAAAGTGGCCTTCATATGTGGCTGGAGGGGAGGGTGACGTCAGCCGAAAAGAAAAGTTGTTTCAGAGCTGAAACAAGCATTTACATTGAAATATTAGTACCAAGACCAAGATCTTTCTTCTGAATCTTGTGAAATTATGGAGTGTTCCCAATAAAATCATAAGATGCTTTGCTTGCTTTTCATCTTGACTATAACTTTTCTAATTAGAAAATGTTCTAAATGCATCTTATTGATGTAACTGACCCTTCGCTAAGCCACGCCCAAAAACCGCCACTGGCCAATCGTGGTTTAGCAACCGTAACTAGGCACGGGAGGTCTGGCAAGCTTTCGAGCGAGGGAAACATGTCAAAGCGTTGTGTGTATGGATTGTGTAATCCTCAAAGTTTGGATGGGGGAGTGATTTTTTTTCCTTCCCGAAAATCTTAAAGCCAAGGGGAGAAATGAAAGGCTTGGATCAAGCAGTGAGAGACCCCATTCACAACTAAATGATGACAGGATTAACAAAAACACCTAGCTTGAAATTAATGACAGTTTTTTGTTATATATTTTAACGTAAAATAAAACGATTTAAGACAAGACGGAGGCTAACTGACATACTTTAAAATATATTGTAGCATTATGTTAATTGACAGCCTACTCCTGAACGAGTAACTTTAACCCAATCTGATCGCGGCTCTCCCGGTGTTAGTGTTATATCTGCTAATAAATGTTCATGACTAATATTTCCTGCATATTTACGTACATAAAGGAATCTATTATGCGTTAGTTTAGTTTACTGTTTCAGCAGTGTGCAGAAGACACACCCATCTTAACAATTTCTAAATCGCTTATCCTGCCGGGAAAGACCATAAATATTACAGATAGTGTTCAAAAATCAATTAATGTACATACATATATCTTAAAACTATTTATGTGCAACTGATAAGTCAATGTTTTGATGCCCGCTGTCAGTTTGACCACTTGCTGCCAGTTTAAAACACAAGCAATCTAGTCATTCACATAGATCAGTGGTGTTAACACATTTTGAAAGCGGTAACAAAGTGTTTGTGTCTTCATCATTGCATTTTTGGACATTTTCCTAACTGTTTTACAGGGTGAAGTTGGTGATCAGGGTTACCCAGGACCACAGGGACCCCCAGGGTTAAAGGTCAGATTCTTGTTTTTTTTTGACACCAGAATTTTGAATATGGAGGGATCGAAAACTAAAAGTCTTAGTCGAAAATGAATTTGGTATTTAGGATTGGGCATTTTGTATTTAGGATTGGGAATTTAGTCATTTAGCCATTTAGGATTTAGGTTTAGGCAGAGGCGTAGCAAGCTTTTGAAAAGTGTGGGGGATGGATGTGTCATTTAAATTTGGGCAAAATTACAATACTTTTGTCCTAATTTCTTAACTTGTAAGAAATAAACCCTTGAGCTTTTATTTAGGAGAAAACACAGAACACCATGCTGATCACGCAGATTTTTTTTTAAATCACGCAGCATTACAAACAGAATGCCTAACACAAGTCTTGTACTGTTTATCCAACAATACGAAATATAATAATGAAAACACTGGACATGTCAATAAAACATAAACATAACATCTTCCCAAACACATATCAAGCTTATTTAAAAACCTCGAAAGCATAAACACTCATTCAAAGTACCTGGAAAAGGGAAATCTAAACAACCATAAGTTCCCGCCTCCTCAGCACGAGCTGACCGATTCATCTAACACATCAAGAGAGGCGGGACTTAAGGGAGAACAGCCAATCATCAGCCGGACACACTCAAAGCCGGTGTCATGTTTGAGAGGAGACAGCCGCAGCGAGCGCACACACACACACACACACACACACACACACACTGAGCGCCAGAGAAACGGAGGAGCGACTGTAGGAAGGCGTTTGTGTAAAACTGCGGAAAAAACGCCAGAAAAAGTGCGGGTGTTGAACACTCTCACCGGGAAAAGTGTGGGTGTTAAAACACCCACATCCCCCACGGTTGCGACGCCCCTGGGTTTAGGCATTTAGGGATTTAGGACCGGGAATTTGGTATTTAGGATTGGGCATTTGAGGATTGAGGATTGGCCCAAATACTGGAGGCTGGGTTTAAAATAGCTGATGCGCAGAGGCACCTTATGGACAGCAAAGAAGCCTCTCCACCGCTACTGGAAGACTTTTCTTTGTCCAAAATGTCCAGCGCCTGTCTCAACGAAGATGCTAGCTCTGGCTTTGTAATTGTTAATATGGCAAAATGCCCAATCCTAAATACCAAATTCCCAATCCTAAATCCCTAAATGCCCAATCCTAAATCCTAAATGGCTAAATTACCAAATGCCCAATCCTAATACAAAACGCCCTATCACAAGAACCAAGTGCCCAATCCTAAATACCAAATTCATTTTCGACTTAGACTTTTAGTTTTCGACTTAGACTTTTAGTTTTCGATTTAGACTTTTAGTTTTCGTTTAAGACTTTGTTTTCTATCTGAACCAATAATCCCTCCTTAATTGAAAAGTTCATAATCATGATCCAAAAACATACTATTTTCAAGGTCCGTTTAGTCCATTATGGTATATAAATGAGACTTCAAATAATAGTTTTTACCTATTCATTTGTGTAAATAGCTATTTATCTTCTGTTATGCACTCTTTCATTTTGTTTCTTTCAATCCTCCCATGAAGCATATTCTTTGGGTTTGATCATACGCTCAATTTGACCATAGCCTCTTATTACCTAATCATTAACAGCGTGATCAGAATGATTTCATAGTGTAATGGACTTCATATGGATCCGACTGCTCTGTTCAAACATCTTTTGCTGCAATCTAATTCTCTGCGATCTGTTCTGTATTAATTTAAATGCTCTTTATACATTTGGCAGGGCGAGCAGGGAGAGCCAGGTCCTCAGGGTGACCGAGGAACCGATGGTCTGCCAGGCTTGAAGGTGAGCGCTGGGTGAAGCTATTTCTGTTTTATATATTTATATACAGTGATTCCTACAAAGACAAGACTTACAGTAAATGGGTAACATTAGTGTGATTGAATGTGTTGGTTTGATTTGGGGTTTGTATTTCTCAGGGAGATAAAGGAGATGTTGGAGAACAAGGACCCCAGGGCGAAACGGTGAGGAATGATGCCTCATATGGTTCAATGAAGAACCTTTAACAGCCATGGAAACTTTTCAATGCACAAAAGGTTCTTAATAGTGGAAAAAAGTTATTTAGATTATTTAAATGTTCTTTATAGTAAAAAAAAGCATGAAATGTTGACTAAAAGGTACTAAGGAAGCACAAGGCTAAATACATGTCACTGATTAACAATCAAGGAAACTAACTACACTCTAAAAAATGCTGGGTTGTTTTAACCCAATTTTGGGTCAAATATGGACAAACCCGAAATGTTGGGTTAAAAATGTAATGTAAAAATTTAACCCAACGGCTGGGTTAGTCCATATTTGACCCAAAGTTGGGTTAAAACAACCCAGCATTTTTTAGAGTGTAGGAACTAGTAGAGACTGGGCCACATGCTGCATCCCAATTCGCATACTATCCATCCTAAATAGTATTCGGAAATAGATACGTCCACGTATGGTGAAATGAGTGTTCCAAAGAGACCCGGATGGTCTACAATATCCGAAGTGCAGATCGATGCGCACTCTAATGGCTTATATTGCCCACAACCTATCGCGCGTTGGACGAGTATTTGTTTAGAACTACAAACTCGAGTGAAAAGTGTTTAAAAATAAACTACAGACATGGAGGACGCTCAAGTCCGGCAGTTATGATGTAGGGAGGTTTAGATAAAGGGATTTGAGTGGTTAATTATCAGTATCTAACCTGATGAAAATGTTGTTTACATTTAAGTCAATACACTGATCAAGGGTCACTGACCATATTAAGGGCTTTCTCAATCGCGAAATCCTTCCGGATCACTGAAATGTTCGTTCCTTAAAAAGTCCCACAATGCACTGTGCAAACCAGGCAGCATAAAAATATCTCACTAATGTTCCCTTAATAGACGTTCTGACACATGAAACATAAATCAAGTCAAAGTATTTATCATAATGTACTTTAAATAACATTAAAACACAATGTCAGAAAGAAATCAGCTCTGCTGTTGGTCATAAATACCAGTGGTGATGTTGTACACTGAGGAATTTGTTATTTTTAATACATTAGAATTACAAAACGAAACCAGAGAAACACATCTGAGAATACTTGCAGGTTTGTGTGGTCAGTTGTGTAACGTGTTTTTTCATCCCGGCAGGGCCTCACCGGTGAGAAAGGCACATCAGCATCTGGTGACATCATTGATTTTAATGGTAAACTCTTGGACGCCTTTCAGGTGAGTTGTGATTTTATAAATTTCTAAAAAAAAAACAATCTTCTCAGCAACTTATAAATCTGTTTTTTTTTGTTTTTTTTTGCTAGTTGGTCATCTGGATTGATGTAAATTTGATGTTACTGGTTAAACTTCCTGTAATGCAACTATGTAAACCACAGATGACTATAAATTCATGGTTGTATTAAAACCAAATGCCATTATGTGTTCTGAAATCTGAAGGTCTGACATTAGTTGATTTTTTTTTTTCTGGCAGGCCATCAAAACCATCAGTGTCTCGGTAACTGTAATATAGCATGGGTTGCCAGTTCTGCTTTTTTTTTTTTTTTTTTTTTTTTTTTGGTTAAATATGCAGCCTGATCCTAATCCTTAACAAATACTCACTGTATCTGCGTGTGAATATAAAAAACATTTCATAATAATTTTTTTGTGCAGTTGCCAAATTAAATGTTTTTTTGTGTGTTTTTTTTTTCTATTAAATATCATTAGTAATATATTATATATAATACTAATATTATTATTATCGAAGTCTGTAGCGTCTAGCGTGCATGCAACATTATGTTGTAAGAAAGTGAAGTAAACATGACTGACAAAATTAAATTTAAAATAATTGTTTAAATAATTTTACGTTACTTGGCTATGCTTCATGCAATATACCAAGACAGATTTGCGAAATTAGATGCAATTAGTAGCAAATGTTGTCGTGCATATTCTTGTTCTGAGAATGTGTATATGGGTTGTTTATTGAATGGTTCTTGTGGTTACATTCATTATAATGGCTGTTTAAATGTTCTGGATGATGCCCTTTTTTTAAAAGTCTGTGTTTTGTCACACAGCAATTGGGAAATGGGAGGAAAAATTAGGAAATTTGTTATTTTTGACATTTGCAAGGCTTTGTGGTCATCTCTTTCAACAGTAATCAGTCTGAAATGTTTATCGAACCACAAACCTTGCCAGCTCATTGTACTGATGTACTCTACATTGAAATATGGTGTCAAGGAAATTTAAAAGATAAGCCAATAATTATGGAATAGCAATATTTCTTTCAAAGAATGCCATCAACATTGTTAAGGGATGTTGTTTTCATACTCCAAATGTTTCAGATCCCACAGGGTTGACTACACATTAAGAGTTTTATTAGAAAAACATTTCCCCGTTTTATAGCAGTCGTAAAATGAGGTATATCAGAAGTTTGTGGTTTTCAAAATGCAAAAGTGGGTATTCAAAAAAGACCATTTTATAAGCTTTAATTCTGTCTTTTCCGTTTGCTTCCCAAATAGGGACCACCTGGCCCTCCTGGACCCCCGGGACAACCAGGAAAAGAAGGTCCAAAGGTGAATTTCATTCACATTTTTATCAATTTCCACAGTGTTTAACTCTTAACGAGTGGCTCGGTTGGAATGTGTGATTGTCAGGGACGATGTAAGTCAATATCATATTGAGAAATATCAATTCTGTTCTTCCCTCATGTGTTTCATTCTTCCAAACAGGGTGAACTCGGCTTGCCTGGGCCTGCTGGAGTTGATGGCGAAAAGGTGATAATTCGTTCAACCCATTTAGAAGAATATCATTTCTTAGGGTTGTCAGTTAAACGTGTTATTAATGGCGTTAATGCAAACCCATTTTAATGGCGTCTCTATTTTTTTTTTTTGCGCGATTAACGGTTTTGGCCTAGCAAACTTTGTGGGGGTTTTTTCATGATTTTGCAACATTCCATTCAATGGCATTGCCTTGCATGCCATTCAATGTTGCTTCGTCGACCAAAGCGCAAGCGGAGCTAGCTAGACCGGAAACAAAACAACAGGCACACTGCACACACTTGTTTGGGTTTGCGAGCCGGCCAAATAGAGTGCCGAAGTTATGACGTCACTTTGTAGGCCACAAAGTGAGTTAGTGAGTTAGCATTTTAGCACTTCCGTTTCCCTGGCCCTAAAGTCTATGGGTTTTTTGAATGGGTTTTTGGAAGGTCTGTGGTATATTTTCACGTTTTGATCTATGACATAAAACACACCACAAAACTTTATATAGACTTCAAAATGTATACATTTTGGATTAACTTGTAGATTATTTTGATAGACAAAACATGTAAGGGTCACAATTCTTTGTTGAAACACAGATCTTATTTTTTTGTCAAATTTTCCAAGTCTATGGCGAAAGTACAAAGCTTTTCGATCGTGGGAACCCATGCGCCGCTAACTTCCGATTTGTTCTACAAAGTGACGTCATAAATTCGGCACTCTTTAGTTGGTTAACGTTAAGTTTTGAGTGGATGACGAGTGCGAGACACCGGAATGGGTGCCAATAAGATTCTGAATGGAAAGTTTACTTTTAAAAAAGTTGCCAAATGGTTCCGTTGACAAGACCAAAGGGATCTGTGTGTTTTGTCGTTGTGAACTGAGCTGTCATCACAATCGCAGCACGTCCAGTCTGAAATACCACTTAATGGCCAAGCACACACACAGCTGATGCGAATTTTCCGCCCCCTCGTCAAAATCAGAAATTTTATTGATGGACAGTGTTGCATTGTGTGAGATTATTTGCTCCAAGTGAGAATGTTAGTGTGAAATCGAATACTGTATATGCCAATGTGGTTTTCAATAAAAAAAATCATTTGCACAAAGCAAGCCAATCCACTTTTCAATGTTGATAAGAGCATTAAAATGAGGGGACAAAAAGAAATCAAGAGACATTTAGAATAGATAAAAATGTGCGATTGACTAAGGCATTAATGTGGCATTATAGGATTAATGGTGATTTAAATATTTGAATCGTTTGACAGCACTATAAAATATACATAGTTTTACAAGGACAAGAACAATTGAGTTCAATAAATGTTAATGACTAATTTAGATCTCTGAGGTTCATGCAAATGAATTACACATCAATATTTGGATCCATTTGATCAACAGGGTGAGAAAGGAGACACTGGAGAGCCTGGTGAACTTGGAGAGAGGGGGGAGAAAGGAGAAATGGGCCTGTCTGGTCCCTCTGTATGTATTCATTTTTCCATTTTCTCCTTCTAAATATTCTCATTAATTTGTTAATGTTTTATCATATTGTTGATATTATTTAATGTGTTATAGGGAGTGGATGGGCAGAAAGGAGAGAAAGGAGACTCTATACTAGAAGACAATCTGGTCAGTACAACTGCACCTGCATTTATTGACTCGTTCATTAATACTCTAGTGTCAGGAGTGCAGTCATGGTCAGCTTTGTTTTTATGACTATCTACAGGTTCAGATGATTTCACAGCCGGGACCACCAGGGCCTCCAGGTCCACCAGGACAACCTGGATACATGGTGAGACACATTTTAGACTTCTATGATTTGATTTATTTATTTTTTTTTATTTCAGGTTTATTTAACAGGGACAATGCACACTAATGATACAGGATTAAATGTACAGTGTGCCAGAATTAGCCAGTAGGCTATTTTACATCTGCTGTCCCTGGACAGATCTTGATGTCACACCTAAAACAAAAAAACAACAACAAAAAAACCATAAAAACAATATATCTAGGACAATAACTAATGTCAAAGGTTTCCCCTATCTAAACACAAGATAAAACAATGAGCCAGCCAACCACATTGGCATAGCACAGGAGACACAAACAAGCAAACAGACTAATAAAACTAAAGATTAACAACAAAAGACAAAAAAAATAAATAAATAAATAAAAATAAAAAGGCAGGACAAGAAACAGTGCAGCAGCAAAATTTCATGTCAAGTGTAATGTAAACAGTCCTGACTATCTATTAACCATTTCTTTAAGTTATGTTTAAAAGAAACGTAAGATTTAAAAGTTCCTAATGTGAATTGGAATCAGATTCCATTCACGAGCTGCCCTTATTGAAAAAGCTGTTTGACCAAGTGCACTCTTCCTAAACGGGACAATGCAGTCACCTCTTGCTGCACTCCTTGTAGATCTGAGAGCATTTGGTGCTGCTGTGCTCACAAACTGGCACAATACAGGAGGAGCCAGTCCATGCAAAATTTTATACACAAGACAGAGATCTGCGTATATAATCAAGTTTTCGAAATTCAATAGATTATATTTTTTTAAAACATGACAATGATGATAATATATAGATTTCTTATCGAGTACTTTGAGAGTTTTCTTATATAGGGATAACAGTGGTTTGAGAGAAGTGTTGCTAGCTTGTGACCAGGTTGTCAAACAATAGGTGATATGAGATAAAATCATTTGATGACATCTGAGAACAGAAGTGACTGCCATAAAATGCAATGAATGAGTCATTTTGATGTATCATGTCTCGTGTTATTTATCCTTTGATTTTGCTTTGTTTGTGAATTAACAAGTTAATTATCTCAGAATTACGAGATAATTTTTCATGGAAAAAAGTTTTTGCTTTGTTTTTCTGAATTAACAATATGTTAGCCTAACAATATGTTCTCTCTCTTTTTTTGTTTTGTTGCTTTGATGGAGTTTCAATGCAAGCTGCAAGATCATGTTTTTAAGAGTGATATAATAACATGATTCAAAGTTTGTGACTGTTATTATGTGTGTTTTAGGGTCATCGTGGCATGCCAGGCACCAAAGTAGGTGTTTGTTTTCATTTTATTTTCGGACTAAAAACAAAATTCATTCATGGATTCCTAAATGATTTATAGAGATTTAATTTAAGACTTTTTAATTTGAAACGCATCATACTACTTTGAACTCCATAATAAATATCTGGAGATATCCAGTGAAGTCTTAAACGCTGTATTAAATCTCTCGTAGGGTGATCCAGGGGAGAGTATTAAAGGAGAGAAGGGAGAAAACGGTGCTTCAGGAATACAAGTGAGATCATCTAATCCCATAATGCACTAGTCCTGGATTTAAAAGCAAAAGCCATATTCACATAGATGTACGATTGGCCTGTGGATGTTATGAGTATGAAGTTGTCCATGGTAGTAGTGTGCGCACATCCAGAAAACGTTGTACAGTCCAATAAATTGATTCCTTGGAAGCAGCAGTGTGCCGACTTTTATTTACTCTCTTATGAAGTTATCCATGTTTATAATATCTCTAAGCTATAACCATAAAATATCCGATGGTTTATACCTATTGTTATGTTTTATAGGGTCTTCAGGGTCCTCAAGGGCCCCCGGGAGCAACAGGATTAGTTGGTCTACCCGGCACAAAGGGTGAAAAGGTAAACAACTAATCACTATTTGTAATGAACAAATGCATTTGTGCTAACTATTTTATTCCTTTCAAAAGTAATTTGACAGGTACTTGTATTTGGTACCATATGTAGCTTAAATTATATATTTTTTCTTTCACAGGGAAAACCTGGGGAACCTGGATTAGATGTAAGCAGCATATCTATCTATCTGTCTGTCTGTCGGCTGGTGAATCTCTCGATGTAAGTTTTGATATTCTTGTATTGCAGGGTTTTCCTGGCCTTAAAGGAGACAGGGGTGAGCGTGGGGAGAGAGGAGAGCAGGTGCTGTATCATATTTGCCTCAGAGAATCAATGAAACTGTCGCAGATGTTCAATAAAACAGCGCTTTATTTACAGTTTTTCTCAGTCGCTTTGGTGCATTTCTCACATCACTATTTACATTTGCACAACAGTTAATGCAGTTCTCAAAACAATTAGTACAAACTGCAACACTTAGTTGATAACCTGCAAAAGCGTGTCACTTGCTCAAAATGGATAACTCATTCATCAAAAGCAAGTATTCATGTCAATGAAAGTGTCAGTGTCGTCAAGATGAAAAAAGTCCTAACACCAGTGTTTATGAACAAGATAGTCAAATGGCTTTGTCTTGTTTTCATTATAATTTATGACAGTTTACTTTGTAAGTGTTTGCCAATACAAAAAAAGTCAGATCTTGGAGACACTACCTGAAAATGCTGAGGACAGTCCTATAAACTATTTTGCACAGCCATTTGAAAACTACAGTAAAGTTACACATTACTGTATTTAGTGAGGTACAGTAATTGAGTACAAGACACTGATTATTTATGTGTGTTTCACATTTTACTGCATGCTCTTTGCAATTCTAATTTGTTCAGAGCATTGTGCAAAAGAAAAAAAATACACCCTTATTTACAACAAACATAAACTCCCGTTGGGTAGATCGGTGCACAGCTGTAAACAATATCTGTAAACAATATCACAGTATTGGAACTGAACATACTGTAAATCATTCATGCACATCTCTTCTTATCAGTGAAAGCTGAGGTTCAGCTCCGAGAAATTGTTCAATTAAAAACAATTTTTTTTTTGAAGATAAAAAAATGTAAAATTTGCTTGACGGATTTTGACAACTAGTTTAACATTTTTGTATGTGTCATTCTTGTCTTTGTATGACTATTCAACATTCACAAGTAAAGTTAATTTGGACTGATATGACATTAGCAAATGATAATGTTAAAAAACAGCAGTGAGTTGAATGAAAGCAATTGATGCATGTCCAAAAGCATTTGCAATTTGTTGGAAGGAATGAGAAACTGCTTCTACGATGTGCACAAATGACAAAATGTTGTGGAGGTTGAACTAACTGTTGTGCAAATGTAAATATAGTGATGTGAGAAATGCACCAAAGCGACTGAGAAAAACTGTATTTAAGTGATCTGTATTTAAACTGTATTTCAAGTGATCTTGTTGAATTCATTCCGATGGTTGGTCCTTTTCACAGGGAGATCGCGGTCCTGTTGGAAAGAGAGGACTCAAGGGAAAGAAAGGCGAACAGGGGCCGCCAGGTCTGGACCAGCCCTGTCCCGTGGTGCGTGCTATAGCTACTTTTGAAATGTTTATACGTGTTGATGTGTTACAGATTCATACTGCTGAAAATCAGGTGGAAAAACATGTCGGGTAATTCTGTCAGGAAGGACAATGTTGTGCCCATCTGGGCGCACAGACATATCACAGACATCTTTTTTCCCTTTTCCACATTTCCTCGCCTTCCTTCTGTGTGTTTCTATAGACTGCTGTTTCATTTCAGCTTCTCTTTGATTGGGCTCTCCAGAGTGAGTGTGAGTGTGTTTGTTTTTAGTCATTATGGGAGTGTATATTCTGTATGTATGCTCTCGCTGACAGGGAGGTGATGGATGTAAAAAAGAGGCGGTGGAAATTGGGCAACCGGCCCCTGAGGCCCCCTGCCCACTGGTACAGTATATCTGCCTGCTCTCTCTCTCTCTCTCTCTCTGCCCTGTTTCTGACACTTCCTTTTTAACTACTCATTTTGAACTATCTGTCACCTACATAAACAGTTCAAAAGTTTGGGGTTCGGCAAGGCTGCATTAATCAAAAGTGACAGTGAAGTGATTTATAATGCTACAAAATATTTCTATTCATCAAAGAATCCTGAAAAAAAAAAACGTATCAGTTTCCAGAAAAATATTAAGCAGCACAACTGTTTTCAACATTGATAATAATAAGAAATATTTCTTGAGTAGCAAATCAGCTTATTAGGATGATTTCTGAAGGATCATGTGACACTGAAGACTGGAGTAATGATTCTGAAAATTCATAGCCTGGCTAACGCCAGACCCAATTTTCGTCGAGACTTGGGTCTGGGAACCACATGCGCAATTTATCGTATTTTAGGCGTGGTTTACGAATGCCCGGCGCCGTTTATTGGGTGCTAAGAATGTCTATCAAATACTCCTGTACGTAGCTCATAGCCAATCGTTTCAATGGGCTATATGCACGCTTAAGTTCTGCATTTGACGCAAGGATGCTCAGTTTCAACAGTTTCCGGTTGGGGAGATTAAAGCGGATGAAAACCAAGGAAAACGGGATTATGGCAAATTTAGCCTTCTAAATTTACTGTCCTCCTGTCTTCGAAACGAAACGTTCATACAATCAGATGTAATTTTATATATAGTTATGTTTATTTAATATAATTTGCAAAAGAAGCATAAACACAACGAGGGGTGTCTGTTATATCTGTTTTTGTGCCTAACGTTTCTAGTATAACCATGGAGTATAAACTTCAAAATAAATTCTCGTTATTGTATTGGACTCTACGATCGGCGGAAGTTATCGAGCACCCTCAAACCTTCACCGGAAATACCGCTGTGCATACAGCCCAATGGGGGTTCAAGTATTAAGCCAAAAACACAAGTATTAAGTACAGTTTAACATAGAAGTTGTTATTTGCATTGGAATTTGTTTACGCCTATACTTCACAAGTTAAAAAATAAATAAATAAATTTAATGACTGAAGTGTCAACAACTTTAATCGCTGCAAAGTTATGCTACTAAAGCGGTAACTTAGCTGTACTGATATTGAAAAGCAACACAACTTAGTGGCACTATGACAACCACAGTAGGTAGTCTACACTACAGGCATAATCACAATGATATTAATAAATACCACTTACCATTTATAAGTTGAATGGACTTCGTCGACGACGTTGCTTAGCAGGTTGGTATTATTATACAACTCCGTGGCTAACATGTCTTTATACTTTGCGCTCATCCAGGCCTCGGGACTGCCGAACAGAAGTTGGTATCGACAATTCTTTATCGCATTTTCTTTCTCGGGACACAGCTGAGCGTAGATATTCCAAGGTTGACCGCCTCCTGTAACGTTACTGGTTCTCCATTAGAGCGATTAACGGCGAGACAACAATAACGACTGGGGTCTCGCGAAGTTTAACGCCAAAAGCTGCTCTTTTTTCAAAATAAACTTGCATTCTAAACTACTTAGAACACTATCTAAGGCAAAACACATCAAAAGGTAACTTCGTGTCTGCTGCCATGTTGAAGATAAACAAACTGCTTCGGTGTGTCGCATAGATGTCGTCATCGTCTTGCTGCTCCCTCTCCGTTCTGTGATTGGTTCCCTAAATGAGGCGAAAATCTGGTCCTGCCTTTCCGCGTGAATAATCGCGCTGCGGGAAGGCAGCATGGGGAAACTCAGACTAGAAAATTCAGCTTTTCACATGAATAAAATATATATAATATGTAATATTTCAATTCAAATTCATTTGAAAGACATTTAAATCTTCCCAACCCCAAACTTTGTATTTAAGGGTTATAAAATCCAAAGCTGATGCATAAAGAAGATTCAGAAGAAACATTGTAACTTATCAAGCATTATGTAATGATCTGTTATTATTTAATTAGTGTTACTTACTTCATAACACCTTAGCATTATTGTGATGAGTTTGGGAAGCATGTATGTAAAAATCTAGTACAAAATAGAATAAAAATGTATGCATATATTTTTGGATCAAAAACGATTAAGAATTTTGTGTGCAGTGTATGTTTGCAGGCAATAATACCAATTTAAATGACTATATATATATATATATATATATATATCCAATAAATATTTAATAAATAAATTAGGGCTGTCAGATGATTAATCGCGATCCAAAATAAAAGTTTGTGTTTTTTAAGAAAAAAATATGATTTAAATATAAAATATTTATATATATAATATAAATTATACATAAATCTATACACAGTAAATACATGAAAATATTTCTTAAATATTTACAAGCATGTGTGTGTATTTATATATATATATATATAAATTAATTATACACAGTGCACCCACATTATGTAAACACAAACTTTTATTTTGGATGCGATTAATCACGATTAATTGTTTGACAGCCCTAAAATAAATATACAATTCAATAAAATGGCAATTGAAAATGAATTATCTGCTCTTACACTTATTTTTTTTTTCAAGGGTCCTGATGGACTTCCAATACCAGGTTGCTGGCACAAGGTCAGTAAAAAGTAAAAAAAAAAAATAATGCATTATGAGACTTGAATATACCATAACTGTGTCTGTATAGTTCATGTGTGTGACTTTAACATTAACAAACTGCCAATTTAAAATGACCTGACTGCAGTGTGTTCAGTACACATGCCACATAAATGTTGCATTTTCAGATTGTTAATTTGGATTCTTTTGGTTTTGCTCATGACTAATATCGTTTGTTTGTTGTTCTTTTGCAGTGATGTGTAACCTGAGGCATGTCGTCTGTACATATTGATGTGATATATATTGGAATTTCATACAGCTTTTTCACTTTTTAAATATTTTTTCATTTTATAAAGACAAGAGACTTCGATGAACACTCTTCAGTGTTATCTTTTCTAACTTTTTTTTTTTTTTTTTTTTTACCAAATAGTGGATGCTTTTGCATTGTTTGAGTTATATACTTTTTTGAATTCCTGGATGACAGCTCATTTCAGTAATGAGCTCGGAGAATGTTTGCATGAGCATGCTGGACCGACCCGCTCAACTGGTGCCGATACAAGAATTTTGCATCACATCCCGTTTTGTTTTTAAAAGGAGCAGGGAATGCTTCAGAAACTCAAGAGGAAACGTCTCTCCCAGCCTTGAACTTCTTCAAGAACCCGAGCAGTTTCAATGACTTTGCGGTCCCTCAAGTGACGGTATCTCAATAATATTGGTTAATATTGACTGTCCTCAATGTGCAGGTCGAATGAGGGTGCAAGCAGCCCTCGCTATGGTCAATATTTTTCATGGAGGATCATAATTGAGCTCTTGGAGATGATTAGAGATCAGGGATTGGCCTCATGGATGCAGTAGCTCCATAGAACAGTAACAGCAGCCTGAAATAAGAGGCGTTGGCATGGAGGTGATGCAGAACAGAACGTTATTTTGAGAATTTTAATGAGCAGTAATTTATAACGATTTCATTCTTATGTGTTACTGTTTTATGCTTGTTTTTTTTTGTTTGTAGTACAAAGCATCAGGAATTGACGCCCAAAGACTAACTTTTTGGATGGTGAGCAATTAAATATTAATGCAAAAATCACTTTCATTAAAATAAACACTACATCCGTTTTAAATCAGCACAGCTTCGTAGTGAGCGAGAATAGTGTGTTATACTGTACTTGATTTTTGTTTTTCTTTAATACTACTGCATCTATGTTTTGTTGCTCACATTTGCTTTGTATTTTAACTGTAACTACCTGCCGTTGTTTTTTAACGTCATGATCTTTGACACATATTCCATAGTATTGTTCATAGTAATTTATGGTATATATCGGTATGCTTTTTGAAGATGGCAAAACTGGTGTTTTTTGAGGACTTTGACAAAGTATTGCCTTATTATATTTCATATCACGAAGCAAAGAAAACATTAGAGATTCCATTTTATCAATCTCACTTCGTTTCTTTGGTTTTCCAAGATTTAACACAAAGACATCCAGACGAGATGTTTTTAAAGACGTTTTTAAGCATGTTCAGCATACATTTCCATTATGGTGTATCTATCCTCTTTCGGGATTTTACAACCATTGATAAGCTTTCTCGAATATTTATTGTTAATAATCAGTGGTCAGTTCATATAAAGGATCTTGTATGCATTAACTCATATGTTACAGATGAAGGATGGCGTCAATTGGCTGACTAAATGAGTAACTATATTGTGATTTACATAACTGTAAAAACTTGTTTGACCAACAGTATTATAGCGACAATTCAGAAACATTTTGAGACTATTCAGTCATTTTGAGATTATTTTATTATGGTTTTTACCTTTTTTTTTTGTACGCAAAGAATGTTTAATTTTGAAGGTATTGGAAGATTTTTGCTGCTGAAATAGTATTTGTATTTAACAGTTGATGTTGTTGGGTAAGGAAAACAACCTTACCAGCTGCCTGACAGCCAGTACATGCATTGATTTGCGTTTGAAGATGTTTTATAAAATAGAAATTAAAGTTTGATACTAGTAATCTTAACTCGCCTGTCCTCTGACCTTGGTCTTGGTCAAAAAGCCGGGTGCTGGTGGCTGGCGTCTCAACAGTACTCCACAATCCACATTATGTTTCTCACGGTCCAATCAATTCCTGGTGTATGAAATCATCACATCCTACTTTTTTTTCATGATTGCATGAATATTCCTTTACACTTGGAAATATGTCACATAAGGGTGCAAATTCATGTTGACTTTAAATGCCAAGGAATTGCAGAAACTTTGCTTATTTTAGTAGCGTCACGTGAAATCATGTGTTTCTTTCATTGGAAAATAAATCAAATATCTCAATCAAAATTGTTCATTGTGCTTGACAGCGATGTTTTATTATAGGAATCAAATACTCACACTGAGCATGATGAACAACACGTGACTGGCGTTAGACAGTTTGGCCTGAGATGCAAAAGCCACTTCGGTCTTACAAAATTGAAGATTCCAGCACTATGAAAAAACAAACTACAACAAGTAAAGTTGAGCAGAGTGGAATATTGTAAAGCCAAAGCATTTCCACTACAAATATACAAAACAGCAACAGTGAAATGATTCCAGCTTCAGCATATACAGCAAAACAGTACTCGGCTGTAGTGTGCGATACAGAAAGAAAAAGGAAAACAATGTGAAACCCAGTGATAGGAATGAGGTGCTTTCAGCATGCTGGTATAAACAATGCTGTAGCTTATTGCACACGGGGCACCACACGTGACAAAATATCACAGCAACATCTCGTCATGATTCATAAAATAAATTAATAATCTGAACTAAATCTTTAAGTTTAGTTAAGTCACAAAAATGGCGCTTAAACATGTTTCAACTATGTAAAAATATACCTGACTGTTTTGTCAAACCTGACTTATAGATTGCATGTTATGTAGTGGCAATGAACAGATGCATGCAGATGTGCTTTAGAATTACAATGTGCTGCTGTCACTGATGAAATCCACCTATCTAATGGAAAACGATATTGAAACGGGTTTAACGAACACATGAGCTTTTCAAAATGATCCACAAAATTCAGATTGACTGTCAACAGATATACTCATGAATGCATCTCATTCCTAAAAACACAGATTATGAATATTTTCACTGCAATTCCAATGTGGTCAATTTAAACCTTAACAAAAGAAATCTGTAATATCATACACTAATCAAAACTTTTTTTTTTTTCAATTTTGGCGGGGAATGCAAATAAAAAGCAACTATCCGTGATACTTGGCACTAACGTGAGAGATTCTGTCTCTTATCTAATTTAAAGGGAAATACTATTCAAGTGATATAGGGAAACGGATACGTTTGTGTGTGGTTATCGTTATTCACGTGAGGCCATGAAATGACAAGAGACAGATCTGTCAATTTGTGCTGTAACGTGTATATAAAAGGCGAGGAAGCTTAAGAGAGTTGAAGACTCGTGGAGGTCAGAAGCCGGAGGGAGTGAGAATGTTCATGTCTCGGTGTCTCAGTCTGTGACAGGATGTTTTCTTTCCGTCCTCGCCGTTCATCATCTCGATCTTGGGAGAATTGAATTTGGCAGGATCTTCAACAGTGAGGTTTATCTTGGTCTTTATGGCATCCATTGTATTGGACTTCTGAATCCCGAAGTACGACTGCAGTGTGACTCCCCCTGTAGTCACAGAAACAAAACATTTAAAGTGCCCATATTATATTAAAGGTTCCTAATTTTGTTCTAAAGATCTCCTACGATAGGTTTACATGCATCCAATATCAATAAACACTAATTTTTTTTCATAATATAAACTACAGCATCAGCTCTTTTCTCACAGTTTCTGAAAACGTTGGATAAAGGATTCGGTCTCTTTTGTGGTTCGCAGGCAGCCAATAAAGACCATAAACATAACTTAGCATAACTTAACATAAAAAAGCATTTGTCACACACTTCTCCTATTGTGAATTCCTGAAAATTTGGTAACAAAACCCATGCTCGATATTTTCACATTTAGCATAAAGGAAAAACAAACAAATCTGAGGTTATAATTAGGCCTCTTTAAAGCTAGAATAACAGAGACATATAACAGGTTCTTGCCAGGAGTGTTGGTTTCTGATCCTGGGTCAGTGGGGGATTTCTGCACGATGGGTCGCACTCCGAAGAAGCTCCATCGCTCCCCTCCCCGTCCTCCTCCTTCATTACCACCCATCGAAATGCTTGTGATCAGACTGCTGGAGTCAGACAGTATTAGGGGAGAGGACTCTGGCTAAACCAGCGTCTGTCAAGAGAAAAAAAAAGATAAATCAGTATTTATTCGATAGTACTTTAGAAATCCAATTATTTATATAAACCACAAACATGTCTGTGAAACTGTTTCCACCTGTGCGTGATGTTTAGGGTATGGGTGGAGGGAAAAAGTGATGGACGGTGCTGATGTTGAAAGCTTGTCCTCTCTGAAGTCCTCGCTTAGCATCTTCAACTCCTGTAAAAATAAAGAAAATAACGGTTAAATATGCAACCAGTGGTGCATCACAAAGCAATTCACTCCCATTGCAAGTGTTTATTATAGTGCTATAAATAGCAGCAGCATTGCAAAACAACCTGACGTCATGTCTAATCATCTAGTACTACTTCAAAACATAAACGTTTGTAACCTAAAAAATAAAAAAAAAATATATTTAAAAAAATCAGAACTAAACAGAAACTTTTGACAGTAAACCATCACCACCCACGTATCTTAAAAATAAACAACAGTAATATTGAAGACCTCAAATGATGTGCTGTACGCCAGACTAATGATATCACCTAACGTTAACTGTTCACAATAGCTCAAGTGTAGCATTTAACACCTGATATAGCAACATAATAACTATCATTTAGTGACGTTAATCCGGCTCTCTTGTCATTTAACGTTATATCTGTAACATACTGAATTTAATCTAGTTTATGTAGAGTTTAAATTGCTGTATAACACTAGAAGCATCAGCTTCCGAGCGCTGGTACACAGGCCGTTGTTTACAACATAGAACCCACCTTTTCCGCTCTATAGCTCGTTTATTATCTGATCCAGCGGGGTCTTCCATTTGGTCCATGGTTATTAAATTAAATATTTGTCGTTGATATGCTGATGAAATCGAGATGACACCGAAAAAACGTCGTTAAATATAATTTTTTAAGATAGCGCAGGGATGTCCAATAGATAACAAGAACAACTAGTACAGCCAAAATGAAGGACGGGAAGTTCAATGTTTCAGAATAAAAGTCCCGTTGACTTCAGACACACCTCCAGCACAGCCCAATGAAATCGCAACAACTGTTTGATGTTTGACAACAGTTTTATGATACGATTTCTTTTTTTTCTAAGGCTTCAACACAGCCCGGTTTATATTTAACGTTACATGCCAAGTGAATAAAAATAAAAATGTAGGCTAACTCTGGGACTTTTTCTCTCTCACACAATTGTGACTTCTTTTTTCCTGCACTAGTTCTGACTGAGGCAGAGTGAGATAAAAAGTCACCATTACCTTCTGCATTTAGTTTTATTCTGTGGTGGAAACAAACTTCCATAATGTTGTGATGAACCCGACCCAAGCTCATATCAAACAAATTTAATGTGTCTTACAAATGGCCCTACAAAGTAAAACCTGACATTTTCATCATAGGAATGTTTAACCGGGCACCAAGAAGAATATATATATATATGTATGTATGTATATATATATATATATATATATATATATATATATATATATATATATATTGCGCAGCTCCCCAAGTAATAATGACAAAAAATAATAAGAAGAAGAATTGATGGAAATTTATTTCTGACATCACACGGAAGGCACTACATTACAGCATATTTTGCATAAAGGGCAACTTTTTTATTTTTTATGAAAGAAACTGAAAATAAGGGAAATAAAATTACAGTGACTTTTTATGACTTCCTATGCAATAATATCAAATTTTTACATCCACCACAATACATAATCATTTCAATAATAAACATTATTATCAATATAATACAATTCATGTAAAAAAAATATTAAGGCATTGCATTTGAAATCTTAACACTATGAATAAATAACAGTTTAACATGAAAAATCTAACAGATATACAGTACATTGGTCATAGTTTTCCAAAACATTAAGCATGTTAGGAGAAATTAGAATTATTTGTCCAGAGATTTTCTTCCCAAATGACTGACCAAAAAAAAAAAAAAAACCCTTAAGATACACATTTACATGTTTATAGGTTATTTAAACCTAAATACATTCCCTGGGTTAATGCCCTTATTACATAGAACATATAATCAAGCGTTATCTACTAAGGTAGAACCATTTTTTCTCTCATTTAAGAATTCAAAATCAAAGCACCATATTTAATCTGAAGTCCTTCTTATCCAGCATCATCACAAACATTCTTTAAGACAGGTTATTTTTACTTGTTGTATATACAGTACATACTATAAATAGTGTGTATGACTACACAGGATTTAACCTAAAAAGAGCCCAGTGCTATATAGTTCATATGAGTTTCTGAACTATTATTGCTATGAAAACAATCTTGTTGTTTTCCTTTCCAGAGTTGTTTCCTGAGTACAGATTAACCATAGTACTAAACTAAATTGTACTGACAGTGCAAGTTAGTTCACAACTAGACAAATCTATGACAAAGCTCCAGGTCACTCGATGTATATAATATACAATGTTACTAATGCGTGCAAAAATCGTTGTTGCAAAGTATTCTTTCAGATGTCCCATGCTCTTGTTGGATTATAATGGCATACTTCATAGTTTTTTGTTGTGTCTTTTCACTGAGGTCTAAGTGTAACACATGGCACAGGAGTAGTGGAACTGCACCCCCTGAAAAACACTGAAGTAAGAAGGTATCCTCAACTCTGTGTTCAAGTCAATAAGGCAGACATCACTTTGAGTGAGGCCGTTTGATTGGTCACTCTTAAGGACATCTTAAAGGTGCAGAGCTGATCGATGTACAGCGCTCCAATAAGCTTCACTACAACTCAGCTCTTTTCAGAAACTTCCCTTTGGAACCTAAAACACAATCATATAGAGTATTATTCTCTAACATATAGTTTTCATGTGACGTCACATCCTTTTAGTAGCGCCCACCTGGATTTTTAGTAGTAAAACCATGATATTAAAAGACCAGATTCAATATACACCTTATTACTGATACATATAAACAGGCTCCCAGAATACAAACGCAATGTGCAATTTCTCAAGCGTTTTTACATAGAAAACCATTATAAAGAACAAGTTTAACCATTGAGCGCCCCAGTCATGTGACTGAAAAGTTATTAATCATGACTTAAAAATGATTATTATTGCGGACAGTGTTTCATAAAACTTCCTCCTTCTGATTACCTGACGTTTTGGAAGTGGCCAGTAGGGGGCTTCAGATTGGATTTCCCTTTCTGCAACATGTCTGGTGCCACTGGCAGGCCATTCTTAGGCAGCATCTGGATGAAACACAGCAAATATTTTATAATCTGCTGTCTGAGTCAGTAAACAGTACACAGTTATTTATCTGATCTTGAACAGACAAGACCAGGACTTGATATGAACTTTTTTGCTCACCAGCCATTGTGGCTAGTGGTTTTCTAAAGTTACTAGCCACTCAGCATTTTCACTGGCCACAATTTTGACATAGACAACTTCCATATAGATCTTTTTAATAGTATCGCATAATTTGATAGCAGGTATATTAGGCTGCAGTCACTTTAGGACCTGACGCATTGATCCATTATTTTCCATTACTTTCTCAACCTTTTACGTTCACCTTAACATATCTGAATGTGTTTACATAGACCAGCATTGTGACGTTATTTTGTGTGTATTTGACTGTTTAAATGCAATGTGCAGCAAAAAATTCATTCAAGCCCTGTAACATAAACAACATTAGCGAGAGAAGCGTGGTTGGTGTCTTGCGTTTATTCTGCGGAAAATGAAGCGTATCGAAAAATCAATGTTTTTGACAACACTACATTGCACTTATTGTTTATTATTTCAGGTAAATGTGGCTAGTAAGAGTGACTGTGTTACATGCCACTGCTGAAAATAATGTCAAGCTCTGGATTAAACCTGCATTTGCTCACATCATGAGAGGAAGACACCCACCTCTGCAGTCTGGGAGGGTTTGGTCATTGGACGTGGTGGAGGGGGTCGGTTGGGTGGTAGCGGTCTTGTTTTGGGGGGTCCTGATGGAGACGGCTGGGGTGGCTCTGAATGCTGTAGACTCTGCTTGTGTGGAGTGTACGCTGGGATTGGAGGTGGTTTCACAGTGGGCCGAATGATAGAATGTCTAGGTCCCGATGGACCAGTAGGACTCGCCTGAGGACATGTCTGAAGAAAGAAGAACTGATGTTTATATACATCTTCTGTCAAAATCACTTATTTTCCACAATCGAACTCATTGTAATTTTCTAAGGTTTTGAAATTCTGCCGATGTCAATGAACATTTTTATAAAGGGTCAATGTTTAACTCCAGGAATTGATTTTTTAAACATTTAAGCATATAAATGTTGTTAATTTCCATTGTGTCCAAAATTACAGGAAAAAAAAAACAGTTCAGACTAAAGCGCATTCCTAAAAATATGATTTAAATTGGATTTATAAACACACACGGATCAGTGCTAAGTTGTTATAATATAAAAAATATTGATTATACTATTTTACTATTTATTAATATTTTGAATAAACGAAATAAATTGTATAAATAATATTCAGTTTGTAGTAATTTTTATTTTAATTATTTTAATTTTTGTCATTTTTATTAGATTTTGTTTTATTATTATCTATATTTTTTAATATTTCAATCTATTTTTAATATATTTTATTTCAGCTTTATTTCAATTAACGAAAACTATTTTTTTTAATATTTTAACTTTTGGTTAACCATAATATGGATGGGTTTAGGTTCCATGTGTTTTCAACATTCAACTAAACCAAGAGATGCACAGAACCGTGCTATTGGATGGACGCACTGCTAACACACGCTGACAACAAAACAGCTTCACACCTGTTCATCAGCGTGAGGTTTCTTTGGCTGGAACACTGGGTTGGCGTGACCTGTCGTGTGACTTTTAGTCTCAGGGGTGTCTGGAACACTGACAAAAAGAGAAATGGCTAAATTTCTAACACACATACAACCTAAAAGCTGAAGATCAATGTTTGCATTTAGCAGTTACTTGATGCATGTTTGAGTAGCAGGAGGGGCGGAGCCTTTGGTGGGGAGGAGCTTCTGTTTGCAACGGCACCAACAGACGCCAAGGATAGCCGATACCAGAAGAAAAAAAAGAGTAAGGAGAACCAGTACAAGGGAAAGGCTGCCTGCACAAGATAAGACAAGAACATAAAAACATCAAAAGGACATATAAAACAGAACGTTTCACAAATAACATTAGATGAAATATTTAGTTTATTAGGTGTGTGTTGTTGACGTACTGTGCGCGATCACAGGTCCACTGTCCAAACTGCCTCCTGAACCCGTCATCTCACAAAATGGTGGTCCCCAACCCGACTTACAATGACAGTTGTGGTTATTATTGCAAAGCTGCAGGGAAACACCAGTGTTGGGTAAGTTACTCTAAAAAAAGTAATTAATTACTAGTTACTAATTACCTCTTCAACAGTGTAATTAGATTACTGTACTAATTACTCTCCCTAAAAAGTATTTAATTACTTTTAATTACTAATTACTTTCAAAATCCCATATCAATCTCAACCAGCTAAATAATAGGGATAGACATGAATCTGTTTTAATTCTTTCAAATAAATACTATAAAATTGCATGAATTATCCTTAAACAGACCAAGGTGGAGAAGGTTACATTATAAAAACATACTTTTTAACATCAGACAATACATTTTGATGTTAAACCCACTATTGTTTTATGTCTGATCTCATGACATTTGACACTTTTTTCATACATATTTTACAATAATTCATACGAATTTGTACGAGTGCGGTCCTACGATTTAGACACCTCATAAAAAGCATATGAATCGATCGGATTGATCTATACACAGTATTTACCTCAATTACATCAGACGTAACTGTAATTAAATTAGAGCTAAATGAAGAGTAATCCCTTACTTTACATTTTCAAGGGAAAAGTAATTAAATTACAGTAACTAATTACTTAGTAATTAGTTACACCCAACACTGGGAAACACACATCAAAAAAACAACATTTGTTCCATTTGGTTAATTTTCTTTTTCCAGTG